AGTTTTTCTAATCTAATCTTATTTTTTGCTTTTATACAGCCCGCTGAAAAACTTGTGACACTGCGTAAAGATTTATTGTTGTCGTTTGTATTCTTTGACCAAACACAATGTGGATATATTAAAGCAAGTGACATGAATGACATCATTCACTCCATTGGACTTGGCCTTTCTCGTTCTCAGGTAACTTCGCAAAAATAATATTGTTTCTATAATTTTCATATTATTTGTTGTTTTTCAGTAATTTATGTTGATTTCTATCAACTTTTCTCTTCTCGGGATAAATATATAAATCTTAACGAAAATTCACTTATTTCTTATCGATCTTAAGATCGGTAAGTATGTTGATAGGTATGTGTCTGTCTGTCTGTTAGATACACGCGATATCTCACGAAAGTGAGGTTGAATCTTCTTCAAATTTTGCATGTGCATTCATCATATCTCGGATCAGAAGCCTATTGATTTTGGATGAATTATGTCGTATAATTAGCGAGTTATTAAATAATTAGTGATGGGACACACGATGTCACTATGGAGTAAGAGCGCATGAATCGAAACCGCAGGAAGATTCCCTAACTTTCGACCGATAAGTCTTCGGTCTCCGACCGATATTCTCGTTTGTTCATTGTTAGAAAGTTTGAATAGACCTGGAGTATTTAGTAGTTTAGGGCTTGTGTGTTCTTATTTTGTGTGTTAGTTTTCTGGTTTGACAAAAGCAATAAATTCTCTCTCTCTCTCTCTCTATTAGGTAATAACCATCATATTTTGATTTTTTCCTCACTCAAGATTTCCAAATTGTTGGCTAAATATATAGAACGAGATCAGATCCAATACAGAAAGCTGACAGACTTTCCAGAATCAAAGTTAGAACAATACAAAGAATTATTGGAAAATGCTGAGAAGGTTGATATCGCCACACTAGCTAATGGAAACAAAGTAATCTAAATTAAAAATTGTGTATATTTTTTAAAAATCAAATGTATTGTAGTTCTGAGAATTGTTTACCAGTAAATGTTATTCAACATACTTTACCTTCATTGAATTTTCAGAAGCTGCTGCCTAGTACATTTGTATGCAATGGTGACAGGGAACATTCAATGCCTGCCGAAAGCAATGGAATTGTGGTTTTCGATGTATGTTAAGGATTCAAAGAGTATTGTATTGTTATTGAACTATATGTTGTGGTGTTGAAATTTTTGCATGTAGGCTATTTTTATGACAAAATTTTATTGATAACTACTTGTTATATTTGTATATGTTACGTAATTATGTAGCGTAACATGAAACAGTTGTTTCATTATCTTATCTTTTCGCCTTGAATTCATACGGGGAAACATCGGTGATATGAAATCATGTATATGTATGTAATGTAATTATGTAGCATAAAAAAACAGAAGTTGTTTCATCATCTTAACTTTCTTGGTTTAAATTCATACAGGGAACTGTCATTGATATTAAATCATTACAACGGAAATTATCATCTAGTGAAGAAGATCGTGCAGATTTAGAAATTTCTTTGGAAAAGTTGAAGAAGGATCTTGGTAATTTTGTGATTTATGAAGATTTTAACCTCCACTGACCTTTGTTGGGAAGCTTTATTTAACTCGAGTTAGATTCAAGTTACGAAATGACTCTTAGTGATTCGACTTCGGACTCATACTTGACTCGGATACCTTTTGATTTGAGTTGCGACTAGGGGTTTATGGATTTCTACAGAAATGGATGATTAATCAAAATGTGCTTTTCCAGTTTAGAGCTTGTGAACCCCTGAGGAATTTTGAAGTGATGTTGTCAAAATTGTATATATTTGAAACATTCATTTAATAAGAGATGCTCGTTTCACTTGCCAGTGAATTGAATATATAGTGATCATGTCTTTTATAACGTAATTAATTGGTAACACATAATTTTAATATTCCTAACAAGAATATTAGATTGTCTTGCTTTTTGAAGCATTTGTTAAAAATTGGCCATTTCTCTCACAAGTATGCACTGAGGTATTTCTAACTAGGGAGTATCCTTTTGAGTGCTTCTCAAGGATGTTCCAGAAGATAAATGTGGTTGCATTAGATGTTAGATAAGTTGTTTCAAAAATGTATTTTTTTTCTTTAGATGATACTAACAAAATTCTGACAAAAACGCAAGATGAGAAGAAAATACTACATGATAACTATGAGTCCACTAAGAAAAGATTGAGCGAGACAGAGGAAGGTTTGAAGTCCACTCAAGACGTCAAAGAGAAATTTGAGAAAACACTAAAGAGCATAGCGTTTAGTGTTGAGACTGTATTGCCAGAAAAAATACAACCAAGCAAAGATTGATTCCTAGAAATGCAGGGAATACTGTTGATTGGTGAGTTGTAGGTAATTGAGAAATTTTACTTCAGCGTTTACCTGCAATCTTAATGGTATGTTTAAAAAAATGATATAAATTGGTTTACACTGTGTTACTACATATTTTACATGCCGTGCTATACATATTCATTCTTGGAATGGGCCTTGATTTTCATTTCACATTTGCACTTGTTTGTTTGTGTTAGCAATCTTGACAGTCTTCTGTAGACTCCATTTACATTGTTTTTTGAAATTACATCGGAATGTAGAATGTTTTTACTTATCGATCTTAAGATCGGTAAGTATGTTGATAGGTATTTGTTTGTTCGTGTGTTTGTCTGTTAAGACACTTTCCGTATGTTACGCGATATCTCACAAAAGCGAGGTTGAATGTCCTTCGAATTCTGCATGTGTATTCATCATATCTCGGACCAAAAGCCTATTGATTTTGGATGAATTATGTCGTATAATTAGCGAGTTATTAATTAATTAGTAATTTTTTTTTCTTTATATAATTAGCGAGATATTAATTAGGCTTTTTTTGGGGTCGATCGATAAGTCTACGGTCTCCGACTGATATTCTCGTTTAACGGTTGTTAAATGCTCAATCTAATATATTTTTCATATCTCTTGGATGTATGGAATATAGAATTAATTCTCCTAATAACAGTTGCATATAAAAGGAAGCTGGCATAGTTTAAGACTTTTTCTAATACATTGTCCCAAATTGTTGGTGTGAACAACTTACCCAGCGAGGGTAAAAAAATTCTGCTGTTGATTAATAGACTACTCTCATTTTCAGATACTAGCTTTGCAATGCATTCTACACCCTGGTCAACTTATATGGAATGTGGTAGCAGAAAATTTAGGATACCTGGGGTCTGGCAATAATTTTTTGTGGACTATTTTGCCGTGATTTCATGCAAGCTGTAAATAAAGCTATTGCTTATTTCAAATATATGTGATCTTCCGTGAATTAGTGTGAATGCAGAGGTTAAGTTAGATCAGAAATTGAAGTGGTCATATTTTTTACCAAAGTAGATTAAATATCATGACAACTATTATATTAATTTTGGGACTTGCATGGCCCCATCTTGATTAATGTAGACTGTGGGGAAATATGACAGAAAGGAACAGTATACACCGATAAGATTCTGTAGAGTTGGATCAAGTTGGCAATTCTATTTCAATTTTGTGCTAAGAACTACACCCACCTGCTTTCATATTATATAATGCAACAGGAAAACATTAATGTATATTGATGATCCGAACGAACAATATCAACCCATTGTTGGGAGTCCGATGAGAATCTGAATTTAAAAGTGACAAGACAAACATCGTAATCTAAACCAGAGAACTTACCACGGCTAAACGAAAGAAAACTATCCTACATACGGAGGTTCGGAGCCTGGGAGGGCCATAGCAGCAGCCGCCCCGGTTAGCATGGTATAGGGGGCAGCAGATCCAAGCTGTAGACTTCATATGTTTCCATTATTTAAGTAAACTCATCTTTTTCTACAAACAAATCGTTGACTGCCTTACGCTTTTCCGCAGTGGAATCTGTGCGTATCCAAAAAATGCGAAAGATTTTCTTCCCTCATTAGTTGACCTCAACTTTGTGCTATCTATACATATCGTTTATACCTTGCAACTGGTTACTCAAATTCACCGGCTTGTTATATAGTGCATTTCGAATTTCCTCCGCCATTAAGTCGATGCATCTGGAACGGATAACTGGCTAACTAACCCCTTTTTCGACATAAACTGGTAATCGGACGAGAGGCCGTGGTTCGCCTTATCTTTAAGTTGTCTTATCGGCTTTCCTCTCCCCGAGATAAATATGTAAATCGTATCTTAAATGCTACTTGCGGACGATCTTTTTCGAAGTTGAAACAGATACAAAGATATTTGAGGTCTCCGTTGTCAAATCAGGCGCGCAAATGTTCACAGAACAATGTTTTATGGGCGTTTGTTTCAATGATTATGGGAGTCGAAATAAATTTATATTGAAAATGGTCGCAGTAAATTCATATTTATACCAGTAGGAAAAAACAGTGAGACATCTTAAAAACATGAGGCGAATCGAGTCTCATTCCGTTCGTACCGTCTTTTGGTTTAGCCGATCCCCTACATTATTTACGCTTGGCATGTTTTCAAGTTTAGGTAATTTAGTTTAGCGTAAACTTGGTAGTCAACTTTCAGTTGCTTACTTTTGTCAATGACACGAAACAACTTCAGCAGCAGCTTCTTGAATATTTTGAAAGAAAGGGAGATGTTTCCGGTGTACAGCTTCACTTGACTAAGATCCGAATACTATTTAGCAAATTTCCCCATTTTATTTTTTCAAAGCATTCATAATTGATTTTCTGTTTGTTTTACTTTGTATGTGTGTGTTTGTGGTGATCGGGCGCGTGTAGCATCGGAAGTGTCTCAGTTTCGAGATTTTCTAAATAAGGAAATGTGTTCGATATTCAAGTCTCCAAATATATTGGAAAAATTACAGTAGTTAACTTGTTACACTACGTTTGCGTATCCATTCGACCTTTCTGTTTTTGCTGTATTACGGTACCGCCATGAGAAATTGTCTATTGATTGCCAGAGTAAGGGCTAGGAATAGGGTAGGATATATTTATCCAGGGGAGGGAAGGCGATAAGACGGATCAACAATATGGCGAACCACGGCCTCTCGTCCGGCTACTGTACCATTCCATGTCGGGTATGGGAGAATAGCACTACGATCAGAGGCAGAGAGGTGGGTTATTGCGCCGTAAGTAGATAAATACGGTAATGGTTGGCGTAGGGAGGTATCTTTTTTTTTATCAAAAAAGGCTAATAAACTTGCCGTTCTATTTTTCTGTCTTTTGTTGTTTTAGAATGAAATTGTGTAAAGAAATTAAAAATTCCAGAAAATATTTTGTGGTCTAGGCCTGATTCGATGATAATTTCACTGTTTTTATTAGTCTATTTTATTTCATTTTCATTGCCTGATTACTGAATTAGGATTAGATTTGAGAATTCTGTTAAGAATAAATAAAAAACTTATAAATTGTAAGTTTAGTAGTCCTGTATAGTCACAGCATCTCTGTCCAGAACCCTAACTACTATTTTGACAATTACATGAACTGTGTTTATTCATGTCATGTTATTAATTAGATTTACTTGTGTTTGACTTTCTTGAATTTGTAAAATACTTGATATCGAAAGAATATAGTGAAATTTTCCATTTTTTAGTTTTAAAATGGAGCCAAGTAAATTAAGTTTGGAAATATCAGGTCCTCTTTTGGGGAAGATTCTCCATGAACACTACAAACATGGAGGCAGCTGCGGTGGAGTGTTGTTTGGTGAAATAATATCAGAAACGAAATGTGAAATAACTGATTCACAGCATGTAATAAAATCAGAAACTTCTGTATGTAAGTCTTTCAGTTTTTTTAGTGATAGTACTCATCTTTATAATGCACTTAAATGATAACGAAGTAAGATAACTCTACTTTGACGGAAGAAGGGAAAGCCAGTTGATGCACTTCAACTCCTTCTTCATTCTCTTCAGTAATTTCAACATCCTCAAATTTGTGTGTTCATTATTTTTTTATTAACGTTTTCATTTATTCTACTGATTCTACTTTATTTACAGGTGTGAAGGACTACCTCACGACTTCAAGCAAAAATTTTCTTAAATCTCTTTCATCAACAAAAACTGAAACTTTGTTAACTGACTCTTATTCATCACTGTCCTCGTGTATTGGTCTTTTTAAAATACGGAATTCTTCAAACACACTCTCCTTACTAGAAAAGGTATGAAGTCAATCATTTTGTTTTAAGTCATGTAAAATATTATATTATTTTCATTTAATGTAGTCATAGGAAGTTTTTGTACCGCGAGGCAGATGATTGTACTGAGGACCGAAATGAGTCAAAGCTATACAGTTTATATGAAGTCTAAAATTCAACAATCTGTGTTTTAGCATATACTCCCAATTCATTGCTCTGGAGTGCCCTTTTCTTAATAATTGCAACAATTTTACCTTAAATTTTGAATATTTGTTAAAAATAAATATGAACCGAAAATCGTAAGCTGAAAATATTTGTTAGACATATTTTATTCACAATTTGATATTTTCTTCAGTCAATACACAGAAAACTATGCAAAGATTTGCAAGCCAAATCTGACACTAAAGAATCTGATTTCATAGTTTCAATGCTCATCACATATGGTACTAATACAGATGCTACCTGCCTGGATTGGACAGTTCGTGCCTTTGTATTATATAAATCGTGAGTTGTAAATATTTTATATAATTTTGAAAAAGATATTAACAAACTAAAGTTGGTTGGAACAACTCCTACTGTATGATAATATAATTGTAGTCAATCTTGGAAAAAAAGAGCTAAAATGACTTTTATGTATATATCATCATGACACCTAATTCTGGTAATCCATGCTTTTCCTCCAGCATGTAGCAAGATCTTCTTACGTTGCTTAAAAATAATACTCAAGTTTTATTGGAATGAATTTTTTGTGATTTCTTGCATGGGGAAATAAATCTATTGTCTAACAAACATTACTCAAACATTTCAGTTGTTTTAAGTATTTTTACTCTTACTAATTTACTGTCTTAAATTTAGTCTTTGGGTGGTAACAATAAACATTTTTGTTTTTACAGAATATTCAGCACTATAAAAATAAAAGTATCTAATCTACAAGGTTCTGTAAACAACCTGTATATGAAAAGTAGGCAGAGCTCAACCAGAAATGTTCAATCAACAAGTGCAAATCAATTACTTGAAACTTTCCAGACTCATCTTACTGTAAATGACAACAAAATTCAAGTTGTTGATGCTACAGGGTAAATTATACTATTTTTTTTAAATATTCTTTGTCTTTGTTTAAATACATGTTGAGAGTATGTTGCTTTGATAAAGGGTTGAATGATGCTTAATATTTGACTATTAGTCTGGAGAACTACGGTGTGGAGAACCCCCTATTCATAAATCCTGTACTTTTTAGTGTGTGTATAAATTTGTTAAATATTACGGTATTATACGGAAGGTACGGTAGGTTCCATTCAAATGATAATATTCCATGCTTCATTATATTCCACAGTTTGACTTGTTCCTTATCTTTATTGATATTTTTTTTTTCATTTATATCCTACAACTTTGATTTAAACAAGACTATAATAGAATTTAGATAGGGTATTTTGGTTTAGGAAAGCCTGTAATGTCAAATATGTCTTCCTAATTTATTACAATCTCAGTGTGAGGACTGACTTGAGATAAGATGGTTTAAACCTGAGGTCGCTGAATAGTGATGCCTATATAAGTGTTAACATTTTTAGTAAAAATTTTTTACTAACAATTTTATTTCAGGAAAGTAACACAAGATTTGATTAAAGAATTGGACCATGCTTTTGATGAACTATATAATGCAGAACAGAAGTTGGAAAAGACCATGCTTGAAAAATCAGCATTAATAAGTGTATGGAATACTTTACAGGGTCAGTATCAGGCTGAATTTCTGGCCAGTAGATTGTGTTTTGGGATTTTATTTTTGCTTAACTTTGAAAATTTATTATGTTTAGAACTTTTGGCAGGGTAATCGTATTTGCACCCTTTTGAGTTTTCTTTGTGTTGTTTATGAATTCAATGACTAACTTTGAATAAAAATTATGTTATTTTTACTTTTTAAATTTCTCGTTGGTTTTTATTATAAACTTCAGTCGAGGTATAAGCTCCATTTTGTGTCTTGTTTGTGTTTATTATTATTTTTGTAATGTGAAATTCGAAATTTCATTTTCTAGCCTTGTAAAAAAATCTAGTTATTGTTGATATAGTATTTTTCAGATGCAATTTGAAAATTTTATCAATTATGTCTGTGTATTCAATCTACAAAATCACTTGGATTTGTGTGAAAACTTTCAATTTGTTTAAATATCATTCCCAACAATTCAATTTATAAGTTTTTGGAGCAGACTTCCATGCGCTGTCAAATTTTGGGTGTCTCTTTCATGTTGACATTTTTGTTAATATTTTGCTGCTCATGCAATTTATACTTACTGTTTTCACAGGTTCTCATCCTATTCAGTCCTGTTTTGTTTCTCAATAATTTATTCATCAGTAACTTGAATTTCATATTAACCTTTACAGGTAAAAAATTACATTTACAAAAATCATGGTTGAATCAGGCAGTTGATGAAAGACAACAGGATTCTGACGATTGGCCGAAGAGATCGTCAAGGGAAGTTGCATTCACAGAAGCTGAATACCAAGCGATTAAAAGACGCAGTATGGAGGATATGAAAAGGAGATCTCCAATAGTCGTCCTTGACAAGCTGGATTCATCTCAAGAGAGATCAGTCCCCTGTAATAGCAATTCAATTTCTGCAAATCTGAATCCCGTGCCTATGCCAGTTAAAAATTTACCAAATAAATCTTATGCTCAAGTATTAGCTCCTCGGAAAGAAGAACCTTTGAACACTGGGGACTTTTCCAGTGATTCAGAATATTTAAGCAAGTTTTCTTCAAACTTTAATGCTGATTAGTTCTTGCATTCATGTTTAGCTAATAATATTCTTTTGCTTCAATGCAGTTTTCGTTGTTTTCTTTTACAAAGTTTATCAGGTCTTCTCTTTGATATAATTTATTTTTAAATTTTAAGTGTGCTTTTGTGTACCAGCATATATTGTGGATTTGCAATGGTAATTAATGCGACCATTGAGTTTATCAGAACGGTTTTCATTAAACTCTGGCTCACAATTCCTCTTGGAATCGTGCGTTGGTGTTGTGAAGCAATTTGTGAGACTTTTTATAAAACTTTACACTACAAAGATACTCTTGCTGAAAATTTTCGCTGGTGTATATTGAGTTTAAAGAATCTCTGGAAAGACGGTTACTTTAGACGTGCTTTCTTTCAAGTATTTAAAGTGTTCTCTTTCAAAATCGCTGCTTTCTTGTTGTATTCAATATTCAAGTTCTTTGAACTGTTTCGTTATTTGCATTTTTTGCTATAAAGTTTTTCATATGGTCACTTTTAGGGATTGTATAAAAGTTCTAGGTACATCATAGACCAGCATTTAGAGATACAGGTGTTCCACGCCAGCGGCAGGAATTTCTTCAGGGCTTGTCATATTGACGCTAGTTATCATGGGTGTGCACTCTGCATCAGATACCTCGGTGGTTGTTCGTTGGATAGGATTGCTGGGCTCGTTACTATGTGGTTCGTTTAATCGCTGATCGTTACATCATTTGTTCGTGCTGTTTTGTGGGTCTTCCCGTGAACGAACTTTAAAAAGGAAAGGAGGACAATGTCAACACTGATACATTTGAAGCAACATAATTCATTCAATTCATAATTTCTGGATCACTTTTCGAGAAGTATGCAAGACCATTTAGGCAGTGGTGGGATTCAAATTTTTTGTCAGCCGGTTTCATCACAGAAGTCATATTTTTCGGCCGGTTCTGTTACATTTCTGTTTTTTAGTAAGGCTAACTGGTTCGCTGATCTCAAAATTCCGTGAGACGGTTCTATAGAACCGGTGCGAACCGGCTGAATCCCACCACTGCATTTAGGTTAGGTCATCGTGGCTCCTGACCCATGCTGTATGTAAGAAATCGATCAGATATAGCAGGGATGGCGAACCACTGACCCGCGGGTGACAAAGTGACCCACCGCGTTTTATCCGTGACCCGCCAAGGCACGAATAAAATTTAAAAATACTAACATATCAGTGCTAAAAATTTATAAAACCGGCCATGAATTAATTTAACAATTATTAAACTATTATAATGTACCGTCAGTTGGGCAGTAGGGCTGCGATCGCTCATATTCAAATGTGGATTCAAATGGACGCATGTTTCAATGTCTGCACCGCTGTGTACCGTTATTCTTTTTTCTGGCTCTGACATCGTTTATAAAAAAACAATGCCATTAATCTGTTCATTTCTCGCAACGTCTTGTTTTTTCGGAAGTGCATCTGCATACTGTTTTAGGGGTTATACGAAAACTAAATGTTACTTTGCATTTTATTAGGTTCTCACCTACAATGCTATTGAGAAAACAAAATATTTCAAACTTGAAATAAAAACCTAGAAATCTGAAATAACAATTGGGCAGTGTAAAAGTGTCTTAATGTGGCTGAAAGCTGATCAAACAATATAACACTATCAGAGTGAAATTCCCTCCAACTCTTTGAAATAATTTGCCGCATAATCATAAACGTTTTTGGTAATTCATATGCGTTATTTCGTACTCTAATTTCATAACATCGAGTGCTATATAAAGTCCCTGATAGAAGCGTTGCATAAGTAATGCCCAAACTACACCAACACCAACAAAAGCTTATAAGATTTGTTCCAGAAGTTTCATAATTATAGATACAAACATTGATTAAGTAACTGTGACCCACTCTCTTCTGTTACGCGATAAAAATATAATTTTTGACCCATTCATTGAAAAAGGTTCGCCATCCTTGAGATATAGCATCAGCGATGAAATATGGATAAAAATGTATGTGTGTGAAATAGCGATTTATCAATATTCTGACGTTAATAATGCAAGTGATGTTAATGGGTCACGTGGAATTTTTGAGTCCAGAAACGCAATCGATTGTAGAGAAATTCGTTCACATCACTGCAGTATTGTCCGCGTTAATTTCATTCGAAGACGTCTTTTTTGAATTCTCAGGAGCTAGAGCTAAATTATTTAACGTATAAAAAGAGGAAAATTTTCACTTAATTTCAGCTGGTTTCTGTTTTTTTTATAATTTGGACAAAATTAGAAACGAAAAACGAAGCAAGCAAAAGAATTACTGGAAAACAGCGCTGCGATGAGCACGAGCTTTGAACATGTAGCAATGCTAGTGTTTACTAGGAAATGCCACATGGAAGCGAAACTGCAATGAGTTAGGCAAAATCGGTAGAAATAAACTAGATACTTTAGTTTTGCAAGCATATATGTATTTTCAAGTACAGTTCCGTATTTTGAGGTTGATTTTTGATTGCCAAAATATATATCCGTTAGCAGGTGCTAACGAGGAGAAGTCAGTGTTTACATTGTTGCCTGGTTGCAGACGCTGGCTACTTACCCGTGCACGCAATTCTTAGTTTCCTCTGCATATTTTGCAGTATAGTTTTGTATTTATTTTTACGATTCACCGCAGTATGTAAAACTCTTCAAGCCAACAAAACGGTTCAGATGGTACTATTATTAATAATAATATCCAATAATTATCTCTACTGTTAATTATCTCTAATAATTCTCTAATTATCTCTACTGTTCACTCCCATTTATAAAATCTATCAATTCGGCGGTGGCAAACGTTATAAATTTATTAATGTGGTGTGGCAGGTAATTTTTATTTATTTATTTTTTTTAACCACCCGTATGTAATTTATAACTTCTGTATGGTTGTGTGTGAGTGTGTGTGAAATATTTCCATTATTTTAGGTGAGTGAACACGTACCACTTCTTCTTGGCAAAACCTTCCATCTTGTATACATTCTGTACGTTTTAAACCTTATCTAAGGTTTTGTTTGCTCTCCTGATTTCATAATCAATTTTTATTTATTTTTTTTACCAATCATTTTATTGTTATGCTGATTATGGAGTCGAAATAAACTTATAACTTATATAACAAGTTATAATCAGGTAACCCACCAGCGGTTATGGTCCATATCATTTTTATACGTGTGTAGGCTAGTTTGTAGAGATTTTTATAGATTTTATTTCAAAGCATGGATTTTTTATAACTTAAATTTCAATGTTAAGAACATGAACTAGGATATTTAAATTTTTTAAATATTATAAACTATAAAAAAAATCCACTAAAATAGCTTTTGAATTCTATTTTTTTGTGATTAGATGAGATCAATTTCTGCCTACATATTTGACAATAATGAGATATTCAGAAGATGAGAACAACTCTCTTCCTCGTTTGTCTACTTCAGTACAAGATGCAAATTCTTTTGACAAAGAAATATATCCTCACTCCAAAAAGGATTTTATAAATGATAAACATGGTAGTTTTGTATGGATATCGGGAGCCACTTACATTGGGGAGGTTTCAAATGGCCGCAGATGTGGAATGGGAAGACAAACATGGCCAAATGGTTCTATATATGAAGGCAGTTTCCTAAATGATATGAGACATGGAAATGGAAGACATGTTTGGTGTTCGGGAGAAGTAAATTAGCTATTTTTTTGAAATTATTGATATTGTATTATGAATGAATATGACAATGTATGACATATGAAGCTAGCTTCAGTACAACACAGTTCTTCCATTCTAAGAATAGCCCCTACATTAAAAGACATCAACTATAACAGTAAATGTGATCACCCTACTTACCGAGACAGTGTGGTCCTTCATATCGCCACAAACTGGCATTGCTCAATAAACTTAAATGAAGCGCAATCTAAAAACGTTACCATTTGATTCCCCTGAAAAAATAATCCGATTTACAGAAGAAAAAAAATTACCATATCTTTCGAGAGTCTTTAGCGAAAAAACGTTGGTGGTAAAGAATTTTTGTCATGTGACGGCCGGTGCATGTTAAATTATCAACGACACAAGCATGCCCCGATCTGACGCACCTGCCATCATGCCATACACTTTTTTTCAGAGACTGATAAAGTGTGTTATTAAAACAAAAGTCGGGACATCTTGGAATCGGAGAACTGTGCCTTACTGAGCTTATTTCATGTGGTTCAAATGGACTATCACCGATAATAAAAATAATCTGATAAAAATTGTAATGAACAGGTTGTTAAAATACATATATGAGATTAGATGTCATCATTTACTTTTTCTAAAAATTTTCCTATTTAAATGTCTTTTGCTCTAAACGAGGCTCTGCATAAGCAACCACTGCTAGGCAAGGGTCTACTATAGTTTGAAATTTTTTGGGTTCTGCATTGCCTACTCATTTTTTTTACACCCTGTATAGGGCGGTGGACGTGGTATTTGAACCCAAGATTTAAAGTGCGATGGCATCACGATGCAATGCCATTATTTTTCTAGTCTTTTTCTAGTTTTAGTATCTGAGTTATTGCAATCATCACCGAGTTACCAAATACTTTGTCTGTGTGTTTGCATGAAATAATTTTTATAAGATTAGGTTTACAGCGAGCATTCTCTTTTTCAGGAATATGAAGGTGAATTCTACAAAGACCACAGGCATGGGGAAGGAGTATATAGATGGCCTGATGGTTCTGAATACTGCGGTACTTTCTATCTTGGACGAAAAGAGGGATATGGAAAGTTTATATTCTCAAATGGTGATATATTTGAAGGGCTATACAAAAAAGATGAGAGATGTGGACCAGGAATTTTTTCATATAAAAAATCTAACAAAGAAGATATTGGACTCTGGTATAAAGAAAAACTAATTCGTTTATGTTCTGAAGTGGAAGATATATTTAGTATTAAAGATCATCCAGAATATCCATATTTCCCCGATGAACATTTTTCTCAAATTGTAATGAAAGAAAATGATGAATATATGAGTAAAACTCCCGATGAGGAGAAGTCATTCTGGTTTAGTGGTAAAGAAATGCAAGCGAGGCTTCAATTAGATGAAAATTATTTACCCGATGGCATTGAGCATTATTCTCGGGATTTTGAGCATTTGCCTGTTACCTCTAACCTAAAAGAGAGTCTGCAAAAAGCTTTTTTCAAAGATAACTACCACCTTGTTAAAAATGACGAAAATGCTTTCATATTCGCAAGAAATAATACAACTCAGCTTATAGATGTGCAAAGGCAAATGTATAGGCATCGTCATGTGGCAGAAAAATTCAGTACTTCCTTATCATCAATTGACGGTGCTCAAAGAGATTTATTTAGCTCTAGACAGGGTCAACTTGAAGTTATGTCCGAGAATCTTATTAAAGCTTCCACATCTGGTGATGGTAAAACTGTGTATAAAATTTTAAAATCTGGATTAGTCAATCCAAATGTTTGCGACAATGCAGGAAACACACCTCTTCTCGGAGCTGCTATCAATTGTCATAGCAAAATTGTTAACTTGCTGCTTGATATGGGTGCAAACATTGATCATGTTAATGATGAAGGTATAACTGCTCTAAATGCCTGCCATGTATTTTACTACCCTACTGATCATTTCAGGCCTAACATAGCTGAAAGGTATATTGATGAACATATGACAGAAAAACCTGTTCTTAAACTTCAACTACATCCTACCAAGAAAGAAAGAATGGGAGCTACGCCTTCTCCAAAAGGAAAAAATAATATGACAAAAGCAGGTTTGCTGAGTCCAAAAAGCAGTCGTTTGCATTCACCCTTACTGTATGATGACAGAAGAAGAAGTAGTATGTTCCGAAGGGGATCTGTCTCGCCTGCGACTAGTAGACAATCTTCACTTTCGAGAGCATCAGATAGCCAGGAACTAGAAAAAAAGAACGCAGTTGAATGTTGCAAAAGTGATTTACGAATCAAGGCCAGATTTAGAGAAATATCTTCAGCTAAACATGAAGCAAGAAAACATAAACAAAATGATGAAAAACCTGATGGTGTTTCAAACAAAGATGATGCTGACAGCGTTTGTTCAACAAATAGCATTATCACCACATCAGGTATCAATTACGTTCCATTGTAGCATGCACATTAATATAGTATACAGTAGGCCATGCCATGAGAAAATAGATACAGAATCTATTGTGAGCTACTTAGGGCTGGTAATGGTTACTTAGTTAACCCATGTAGATATTTGACAGATGCAAATAATTTCGGTTGTTAACTGTCATCTCATGTGGCATTCAATTTTCTTACATACGTTCACCCCCAATATAAAAATTTTGGCCACTAATTTATCTTCTGTGGTCTTGAATTCAAAAGAATATCACTATCTGCTTAGTAATGGCTAGACTAACAACCATAATAATACGCTATAATTGTGTTTTAATAAAGAACAAATGGCTCCAAAATTATGATGCTGTATTATTCATGTCTTTACTGACATTGTGATTTTAATTTTGTCATTTGCGCCCGTGTATTACTAACACTGTTCAAGGGAAAAGTTTGAAATACACCATGAAGATTGGTTTTTAGATTCCTGGATTTTCCCAACCATCAAAATATTAGTTGGCACTGAGAAATAGGGCTATCGACATCGATGATATCTGAGGATATTTATCGGTATACCATCCATTCTGGTGAAAAATAAGAACGATATAAGAAAACTGCAATTATCAATCATAAAACTAGTTCAGAATGCTGTGTTGAATACTGGCATCTTTCAAATCTCTGTTTTTTTTAACAGCTGATTCATCTTTAGCTTCAAAGAAGAATTTAGTAGATTTCTATCTGAATATACCTGAAGATCTGATCGAACGAACTGCAACACTGCTGAGTATGAACAGAAGAGCTGTGAGTGGAATATCTACTCGAGATGGACAAGCTATTTCACTTGGAACAGCTGGAGCTTTGGCAGTGTGGAAGGCAGAGTGAGTGTTTTTGAGTATCTTATTTCAATTTGAGTATTTCATGATTCAAACATGTGACAGAAACAGTAAACTGCATAGGTTTGACTCGTCAGTGAGGCGCATCGTGCTAATCATTAGGAATGCGCTCGCCACCGCATCTCTGATTACCCTGCGTGGGTTTGCAGGTTTGAATCTCATGCGGGGATAGTTTTGTGTGAGAGGATTGCTGGACTTCTCACCGCCGTAGGGGGATTCACGTAACCGCTGGTCGGTTACGGCTTTCTCCACCATAAAGTTCATGCTTCCGAATAACCTGGCTAACTAATCGCATACCCGACATTGACTAGTAACCGGACGAGAGGCCATGGTTTGCCATATGAATAAGTCGTCTAATTGGCTTTCCTCTCCTCCAGGATAAATATGTAAATCATATCCTATCCTTGGACATGTTAAATTTTGTTTGCCAGTCCAAGTTGTTGAAACTCCATGTATCTAAGCAGCTTCATATATTGTGTCCAAGCAATGGTGAATTAGTTATGTACCAAGCATAGCTGAAAAACCTTCATCATTTTTATGAAATTGTCAACTCATGGGATTTTTGTTCAACACCAGACAAGTTTGTGATTACAATTTTCCCTATACTCTCAAACTCCACTAGAGCTCTATGAAACTAATGGAATTTTACATAAAATTTATTTTTTTCAAACAAAATTGGGACACGATTGGTTTTTTTCTGTATACATTGACAGTTGACAACTTGACACATACATACACCTTGACAATTATAATCTATGATCTTATTATCTGCAGTCATTTTACTCAATACTTGGAAATATCTTCACATGGAAGTAATATTTTTTGATTTAGACATGAAGAACTAAGACGTATGATTGAACTTCTGCTGCAAAGAGGTGCTAGTGCGAATAAGAGTGCAGTACCTATGCCTCCATTATTTTTTGCTGTTAAAGCTGGAGATACAGATGCAATAAGATTATTATTACTCAGAGGAGCTTCAACTGAAACAAGGATATCATCTTCTGTATGTATTTACTTTACAATTTTTGCTTTTGGTAAATAGCTGTTAAATGGCAAGAGAATTTATGAGCTACATTATTTTGTGGCAACACAAAATGCTGAAAATAATTTAAAATCAAATTTTTGGCGATTTTAGAATCGAATTAATGAATCAGAAATTTCACATAATCTCGCTCATAGTCATATTATTATTAAATGTTATTAACAGCGTATATACCTCGGTAGGTGTATGATTCGAGAAAATTAAAATAATTGTGTTTCTCACAGTAAAATTTATACAGTACCGCTTATATTATAGTTTGGCGGCTTCACTCCACTTCATATAGCAAGTGCTTTACCTGGGAAGGAAGGTGTGATTGCTGTTAAGTTATTATTACAAGCTGGTGCCAATCCTAATGTAACTGCTCATGATGACGATATTCCTCACAGTAAAAATACAGTTGCTTCAGTAAGTGTGAAATTTGTAAATATTTGGTTGAATCATTGTTAAAAAAAAAATGGTAGTTTCGCAGCAAGATATCTTTTGTGTGGTAAATGATATACTTTCTGATGAAAGGAAATGGTGATTTAAACCTTATTCCTAGTAGATGCAGTATTATTCTGTTTTCTTAAATGAATGTTTCAAAAATGTTATCTCCTATTTGTCCAATAAATTGTCCTAATTGTATGGATCTTATTGCGTATGAACATTCTGCTATAGTGTTGATCTATCCTAACCTAAAATACAAGGTGAATTCCACTTCTTATGCTTACTTTAACCATTTGCTGCACAATATATCTACCTCGAGCGCTACACAATATTTGCAAGGCACCACTTTGACATATCTTCATTTTTAAACTTCTAATTCAATATTCAAAATTAGAGGCGCATAAGTTCCTTAAAACATATGCACGCCAATGAAACGCAACAAAAAATTGAAAGTTGTCTGGCAAACGTCAATCAGTTTCTCAAGACCATGACTGTACTGACTCAAATTTTTTTTTGAACAGGAAAGCTGCTTGTCAAGTGATTATTCTGTGCCAACAAAGAAAGACTCGACCCCTCAATGGCTGTCAGAAGGTCTCAAATTTGTGGATGAAGGAGGCAGAACACCACTACATATAGCCTGTGACAGAGATAATGATTATAAAGTGTGTTATGTGAATTTTAATATTGATCTTTGCTGATTACTGATTTATTGAAGGCTTCAAAACTTTTGGCATCATACAAAAATTGGCTTCATCATTCAGCTTTATAGGACGGAAAGAATTTCATATTGATCTTCGGGAAAGAAATTCAATAGGACGACAAACCCCACATTCGTCCTGTTACCAGTACATGTCGAATATGGGAGTATTCAACAGTTATTTGTTTCAAATGCATAGACTTGATGTTGGAGAAAGTCGTAATAATTCTTCAACGATTACGTGAGCCAACCACCATGTACAGTTCTGCAATTTTCTCACACATAATTATCCCCACTGGGATTCGAACCTGCGAACTTGCGCAAGGTAATCAGCATTGTACCATTTTTTTTCAATAATTTTGCAAAACATAGAATATGTAGCATTACCTTTGGTTATCATAGTTTTAATTTCTTTCGATAATTTTTGATATTTTTTTGTATTTGGCACATACATGCTGGTAATCATCAATTCCATTTAATTTTCAGAATGCCTGTGAAGTTGTTCATGAACTACTTGACAATGGTGCTGATCCAGATGTTATATGGAGTGGACATTCTCCTTTATCTCTTGCTATCAGTTCTGGGAATGACTGCGTATGTTTGATAATGACCTTTACTGGGCATGTTTACCCACCAGTGTCCGGTACTACTTTAATGTCTCCCTCAAACCTGCTGTTGCTATTTGACTGATTTTGATTTTTCAATTCAGACATCCATGACATTTATATAGATTAGTATGACAGTCTTCTCTTAGTAGATGATGTTGCAATTGCGTGCTTACTTTGATCTAAAGCTGAATTTTAGTGGAATGAATGAAATGAAGCATTATCAGTCATATATAATTAATTAGGTAATATACATTATCAGGTGTTCGAAGTATGTGTACCAATATGGGGGTAACTAATTTTGTTTGCCCACTTTACATCAAGTTGTGTAAATGGACGGAAGCATATGGGCAGGGGGCATATTCACTTGGCTAACACAGACAGCCCCGTACTCGTATTAGAACTGAAATAAAGAGAATCGGAATAAGATCATGGCCTAACTCTAACATGGTACACATACTGCGGAAGTACCCATCATTTTACTCCAGTGACAAACTGATCTGGAACTTTTATTAGGGTATCGAACATGATCCCGGTGCTGCAGGTGAATCTACTGTGACACCCTGAGTATAGTATGATGAATAAAATATTGATGAGTTCAGCTCATTATTATTCGTTATCCGTTACCCAATTTCTCATCTATCTTGCTTTTTATTAATCTTTTCATGCCTACCATGTTGCGATTTAGAGAGAGAACATCTTTAATATAGAATATGAATATCAAGTATTCTATGTTGTTGTTATAGATATAAGCATAGTTTCGTATACAGGCTATTGAAGAACTAATAAATTTTGAAGCTGATGCAAGTATGCCTTTAAAACGTGGAGTTGGAAATGCATTGTGTGCTGCTGCTAATACTGAATATGAAAATAGAAGAGATGCTGACGGCAGAATTAAACTGGTGAATATTTGATAATATAACACAAGAGAGTAATATATATATAAATGGTAAAATATATGGGTATAAGGATATATTACTACCAGGTCGAATGCTAAAAATGTACCTAATTAAATAAATGATATAAATTAAATTAATTAAAATTATAATGAATGAGCAAAATTAGAGACAAAATTTTTGGCTCATAGGACTCAAAAAATACTACTAGCGTCCTTCATGCCACTTCTTCCATCTTGAGTACTCAAAATTTGAAATTACTACCAGCCGAGTATTATCAAACGCCATATGAAGAAGAGAAAATTATAACAAATAAGCAAAATTTGGGACAAAATTTTTGGCCCTGTGGGATTTAAAAATAACATTAATTCAATATTATTTTGTCAAAAAAAAACTAGTCTCGCGGGGATATGAAATAGCGCTTCCGCTTCTATATACAATGTAAATTCACTTTCATAAACATGTAATTTTGTATAAAATTATAGGTGTGGACGTGGTATATCTGTGACTGACATTGACATATAGGTTGAAATGCAATATTATTTCAGGTGGACAAGCTAGTGAACGCTGGTGCAAACATGTTGGCACCGATTGTCTTTGGAACAAAACAAGTCACTGGAACAGTGGTTGATTATGCTCACTGGATGTTTGGCAGAGATTCAAGGATTGCTCATACACCATACCATGCTCTTTCATATCATGTAAGTTCATTTCTGGGATTTCAACAGTCTTATAAGTCGTTTGATTATCAAAGTAGTTCTGTGTTATTCTATTCTTTGTCAGTGCTATACTTTTACCTAGTCATAGTATTATTATTCTTTAAGGATAAGATTTATATATTTATCCCGAGGAGAAGAAAGCCGATAAGACAGCTTAGTCATATGGCGAACCACGACCTTTCATTCGGTGCCAGTCCATGTCAGGTATGGGATTAGTTAGCCAGTTATTTTTTTTCAGAAGCCTGGTGACGGAAGCCATAATTGACCAGCGGTTATGGAACCACCCTACGGCGGCGAGGAGTCCAATAATCCTCTCGCACATAACTATCCCGAATGGGATTCGAACCCGCAAACTCATGTAGAATAATCAGAGGTGCGGTGACGAACATATTCCTAACACTTAGTACGATGCAACACCTTGCTGCTTTAATGGCAGTCTAAGGCAATCAAATTTGAGACAATTGATATCAACATTTAAAAAAAAGGAAATCCTAGGTTTTTTTGAACATATATTTCTAAACACTGATTTAAATTATATGCAAATCTTGCTGGAGCTAGCTGGTACCTTTACCTCATTCTTAAACCAACCCGAGAAAAGTGCATCCATGTTTTATTTTTTTTCACTTTTTTTGCCTCCAAACAGGGTTGGTTATTTTAGGCAATTGCATTAAATTTATTTATTTATTTTTACTCTATTGCTTATCAATTTCTTGAATAATAATTTTGCTAGGAGAGAGACACTTACAATGCAAGAAAAAGACTCCTTGCACATTTTGGAAATCTTCTAAGAGAAGCCGCAGTCAAAGTGGAAAGAGACAAATTAAAACAAGAAACAAAATTTGGTGTTCGAAGTAGGCTTCTATTTGCACTTCTTTATATATATAATGTTTTTATACATCATCCACTCCAAACAAGGCGTCGTACAACCAACCACTACCAAATAAGTAGCTACAATAGTAGGACATATATCTTTCCAGTTCGACATCGCCTACCCAATTTAATACACTCTGGGTGATGTGGTGAACATGGGATTTGAATCTGAGATTTTAACCAGCGATTCCTCAATGTTTAAGTCTATTGCTTTGACCACAGGGCTACCGTGCCTTAATTACATTGAAAATAGAAATTGATAAATAGCATGTTTTTAACTAGTGCAGTCTGAAAGTGGCTCTATCAGGTTAGAGTGTTTTTGCGAGTTAGCACTTACAAACTAGTTTCCTTGATGTTCTTTGATTATTGAATTTTTTTCTCATTCCTATGACTGAAAAACCATCCATGTTCACTATTTAATATAGCAGTTAAAAGTGTCTCACACCACTTGCATGTTTTGACCGGTACGAGAGGAATTCTAACTACCAAAGGTGGAATCATTCCATTTGCACAATACGGTATATTAATTTGGTCAAAATAATAATTTTAGCAATTTGTATTTTGAAGTTAAGTTGAATGATCAGATTCAGAAAAGTGGTTTGTAGTCCCTTATTATTAGGAGGAAAAAATGAATAACTGCTAGTAATCCAATACTTTTGTACAGATTGCAGGTGGTATAAAACAGGTCATCTTTAAATTTTTACTTTGGGACGAAGAGCATTTTATGTTTGAGACACAGAAAAACTGTCCTTAGCGCTATTACCAACAGGTTGAAAGCCACTAATTCCGATTTTTTATATTTGAGAGCAATTCGTCATTATGAGTAGACAAGTCAATAATTTAGTCTGCTTTCTTCACTTTGGTATTCAAATTGACAGAAGCATAATAGATAATAGGTTACTTTTTTTGAATTTGTTGTTTCTTGTTATTTAGCGAAAGTAATTTTACAAAAATTATGGCAAGACATGGATCAACAGGATACTATGAAGCTCAAGTTGCAAAAATATAAAGTTACTGATGATGTTGAGGAGAGTGTTTCTGATCTAGACTTTCGAGTACAAGATGAGTGAGTAGCGAGACATTCTGAGAGGAGTTATATTAAATTTTGAAACAATATTTATATACCAGGTTTTGCCAAAATTGTATTATACATAGGTCAGGTTGTAAAGACAGTTAGATATCTGAACTACAGTTAGTATATGGAATATACGGTGCTTCAGAAGTGTGTGTACCAATATGGAGGTAACTAGATTTGTTTGCCTACTTTATATCAAGGTGTGTAAAGGGACTGACACCTATGGGCAGGGGGTATCCACTTGACTAACACAAACACTATGGTAGTACAGAATATACAATTAGTACTTATTAATAAAAGTATTGTCGAGTGTAGTATTTGGGAATTTTTTCACAGGATACAATTGAAGATTGCTGTTTAAATTCTTGCATTTTTACTTGTATGTAATGATTGTCGAACATATTTCAGTCTTCTTTAGATTTTGTTTGTTATATCTTGTGTCATCAACAATGTAATATTTTATTCTGACCTTTTACCATGCAAATGCAAATTTCTCAAGGTCTGAGTCCGAGCCGAGAAGAACGCTTTCTGTACACTGGCGCTGGGGCCAAGTCAGAAGCTGCCCTTCCTTCAAGCCCCCAACAATACCATACAGATCCAGTTTCAGCAAGCCATGTGAGCTTCCCAACTCCTATATCGCCTGAAGATAGACCTGATTCAAAGTAAGTACATAAATATAAAAAAGAAAACGGAATTTTTTTGTCTCATTTTGGACTTGCAACTTTGTTCTCAGTATTCAAAGTTTATAACCACTAGAGCAAGACACCATGTCTCATTCAAAGCTAAATAAGGGAATTAGAATATTTTTGTTCAAGTCTTGGATTCAAGAAATATGTGAATTCTCTCAATACCTATCTGACTACACTTAGTCGAAGAAGTCAACAATAACTTGATCGAAGAGACCTGGAGGCGATTTTCTTAGTTTTGATTACTATCAACTAGGATTTTTAATTTTAGTTTACGGCTGAGCATAAAATTCAAGAGTTGGACAATATCGCTAATTCAAGAAATTCATACTGCTCTGGCAATGATCAAATGAATAGTATAGATATGTTGAGTGTTGACCACATTGAACCCAAGTTTTCACTCAAATTTGTTTTGTGTCCAACTTGTTTATTTATTTATAAATGATTAAAATATAGGAACTTATTCATCTGTCATTGTCAATTAATAAGATATGCTTTCATGTTTAACTGTAGAAAACGAAAAATATAACTCATCACTAGATTTGATCTCTTCGTAATTGGATTTGGTATTGGGATTGTGTGTGTGTTCCTAATTTCTAGCTGTTCGATCTGTCTATTAACATTTGCTGTTTTTTAGGATTTCATCAACCATTTTTTCTCAACCAGATAAGCAAGTTAAACCTGTAAAAAAATCAATTAAAGGAAGGTCAGGTTCAGGTCCGATTAGGTGAGATTGTATCTTCGTTCTTTGTTGTCATTTTTCATTCGATTCGCAGGCTGTATTTGATCATTAGTGCAATAAAATTTGAAAATTTACAATATATATGAATGAGGCATTTGGACATCTCTTCAATTGGGTGGATACGGTCTTTTTTCTTTAAATAATTTTATCTGATTAATTACCGTAAGATAAACAACATACTTTTTATAATATTTTTGGAAATAGAAATTCCAACAATTCTTTGCAAATTGAGTATTGGTTGATTATACTTATTCCCCACAATTCATGTTATGACAAAACAACAAGGTTCTAAATGAATCTACAATAATTCAGAAATACTTTTTCATTTTTTGTAATGAGTAACAAAGGAATTGAAAAATTTGGACAAAGACGATGTTGGCTGATTTATATTTGGCATAGGAGAATAGACCCTTTCTACCCAATTTGTAAAATTCAATGCTTGATTCAATTTTAATCCTTTTCAGAAAACCCCTTTTTCGTTATTGTTATGAATGTGGTCGATCTGTTGGTGTTCGTTTGACAACATGTTCTAGATGTCGTGAAGTTTATTATTGCAGTAGATCCTGTAAACTAAAAGCCTGGGAAGAACGGCACAAGGCTGAATGTCTTCGTATAAAAAGTATGTGACCTGTTGCAATTTTTTTCTTCATAATATAGTTTTGATCCTTGATAGATTTGTTGTTTAGGATAGGATATACATATTTATCCCGGGGAAGAAAGTCGATAAGGCGGCTTAATCATATGGCGATCCATCGCCTCTCGTCTGGTTGTCAGTCCATGTTGGGTAGTATGGGATTAATTATCCAGTTATTTGTTTTCGGAAGCTTGGACTTGATTGTGGAGGAAGCCATTACCGACCAGCGGTTACGAGAACCACCTTACAGCGCCGAGAAATCCATCAATCCTCTTGCACATAACCATCCCATATGGGATTCAAACCTGCGAACCTACACAGGGTAATCAGAGGTACGGTGGTACGCCTAACGCTTAGCACGATGCGCCACACCGTCGAGTCGTTAACTTGTTTGAAAACTGATTAATATATTTTTTTTTCCAGTCTTCACATTACACCTTTTTATTTTCAGATAAGAGAGAACAGTTCTCCCCATCTGCAAATGAAATTGCTTCTTATTTTACAATTCACACTTTGAAAGAAGCAATTGAAAATGACCCAACAAGCAACAGCATGAAAATATTACCCAAAAACATAGTCACTAACACGGAATTCATGCCAAGATCTAAATCTGGTAGAACTACTTCAAGTCATCTCAAATTTGGTAAAACGAAAGGAAAGCCAAGGAAGAAGACTGCTTCATCACGATCCACAAGTGTTCTCCAGCCTTCAACTGGAAAGTATGTAATGATTATGTGAGATGATAACATCATCTTTGATTGTTATTATTCATTGTATTCTCTGCCAAATTTTTTTTGCATATATATGAAGTGCAGCCTAAAGTGTAGGAAAAGACAAATATGGCTGAATAAACATATTATACTTTGGAAACAGACGTTTCTACATTCACAATCGCATATTTTATCTTTACCAATTTAATTTTATCGAAAGCTTCCAGAATCAGTAACTTTAAAGATGTTACTTTTTGTCAGTCACTGAATATATATATTGAATATATCATAATGTCTCAAATCACTTATTTTCATCCGTATTCAACTGTAATTATATTACACAGATCATTACTGCCGAGTCGCAGGGCTCATGTGGGAGAGATTTTGCAGTCAAAAGTTGGAAAAGCAGTTTATTTTGGAACAACAGGAATGACATTGGCTGAACTTGGAATTAAAGAGAACTACAGCTTTGAATGAGTGACATCACAATGGTGTTGGCTATTTTGTTTGTTGTCAATTTGATATTCAATCTTAATAATTGATTTACTGTGTAACTGTAGGAGGATCATTACATTTTTACACGAGTTTTTCACTCGTCTCATAAATAAAAGAGTTAGTTTGGTGAAGGAGGTGCCACATCTAACCATATTTGCCTTGATGACTGTGTTTCACAAGATATGTAGTTGGTGACACATTCTTACATTGTTCACAACATTTTGGATTTTAAAAAATCCGTTGGGTTTTCTTTATATCAGTTTTGTTATAAAATTGCACAATAGCAACGACAATTGAGGCTCCTATATTTTAGTTTGTTGCTTAACTCATAGCATCTCATCTGTTGCTTGCATTATGCTTTAGTGCGTCCCTATTTTAAAAATAAATAATGATACTTGAACATGAACAAATGCAATAGTCCAAGACAGACACCACTGCAGTTGTAAATCAAATTCCATGACAATATTTAATGTTGATGGGAGAACCAAACAATTTTGTAAAAGCATATCAAATTTATAGAATTTTACAGTAATTAATCTTTTCAAGAATTATTTTGGTCCTTATTCAAAAACTCAGCCTTTTTCGAAGTAAAAATAGCTTGCTGTCGATTCTCTTGATATTGTTATATTTTCGTATTGAAGTTCCAATATTATTGCTTTATTCTAGTTTTTAACAAATGTTTTTGTATAAGAATTTATTCAACTTCGCTTCATTAGATGCCAAAGCATACTTTTTATGCATCCAACACATTTGTACTTGCAATTAATAGTTTTAATTTAATGTATATTTATCTGCATAAATCTGTTGCTTGTTTAGTTTTGCGACATTTAGAATTTGTATGTACATTTTTACAGAGAAAATATAATCGTAGTTATTCATAGAACTGCCTATTCTTTTATAAAAACTAGTTGAACGGGAATTTGCATATATATGACGCATTGTAATTAACACGTGGCGCGGCGGTGTGGCTCAACGGGCTAAGCGTTAGGAATACGCTCGCCACCGCACCTCTAATTACTCTGCGTGGGTTCGCAGGTTCGATTCCCAGGCAGAGATGGTTATGTGCGAGAGGGTTGCTGGGCTCCTCGCCGTCGTTGGGTGGTTCACGTAACCGCTGGTCGGTTACGGCTTCCTCCACCACCAAGTCCATGCTTCCGAAAACAAGCAATATAACTAATCCCATACCCGACTTGGAATGTTAACCGGACGAGAGGCCGTGGTTCGCCATATGGATAAGCCGTCTTATCGGCTTTCCTCTCCCCCGGGATAAATATGTAAATCTTATCTTATCCTAACACCAAAAATAGTAGTATCGTTTTAGCTCAGAGGAAGACCAACAAAACGAATGAATGCCACTGTATTCTGTACTTTGATGGAGTTAGCTAGATTACCAAAGTGTGCTTGTATCGTGCATGGGCGCTCAACTTCTAAATGGCATTGCAAATGTATTTAATTTGTGTTCCCACCAAAAAGGACTGACCCAATGCAATTTTTTGCGATTCCTGGTGAGGAATCTTGAAAAAAATAGTCACGCTTGAGAGACGGCCATCATAATCTTTTCGCATCAGCAAAAATTACGCCAGGTGGTGACGTAATCGCGGCTACGGATGCATTGGAATTCAGATTTTGTACTTTGTTCGACCGTGAATCATGTGCTTTTTGATAATTATTTTGTTGTAAATTGATAATTTGTGAGACCAAATATGATATATAGTCAATAGTAGGAATATGTGCTCTGGTATGGTTTGTATGTGTACCTGGGTAGTGGGTATATGACTACACATTACACGTACCGTAACTTATCGGTACCGTGGACCTGTAAACTCTGTATTACTACTGTACTATGGGTGTTGAGTTTCATGATTTCTCGTCTTCATTTTTTGTCAACCTCAAGTGGAAAGTTCTCAAGAATCTGGGGAAGCTACTCAATTGCTTGTATCTCTTTTAATTAAAGGGATAGGATTTTCATATTTATTGGTGAAAGATGTACAATACTGCGATATTACAATGTATCATAGGGCAGATCACCTCTCGTTTTATTGCCAGTCTTGGTTAGGATGTTATGAGAATGAGGTTGTTACTCATTCTATCTAAACTGGAAATTGATTCCTCCTGCTGTAACACGTTTTCTCAACACTTTTTCCCAGATAAGATCATTTTGAATCGGTCAAGTTTAAAGTTTGTCAGTTGTCTTTTGACAAGCGTTAATTTGGGATTCACTTTTGTCAGTTTTCTTCTTATTTATCTTCACAAACATACTAAGCATTCTTTTATATATAAATTACATAAAATGTGTTGCTACACAAATCTATTATCTGTCTTGATTGTTGTTCTTTCAGCAAATTTGATAGAAACTAGTTGCAACTTTCAGTATAACATCCTAATCACCGGTAACCACTTATTATTCTGCAACTTATGGGCAATGAATTTGTTTCATCAATAGATGCCAAAGCCAAATAATCTACCATACTATTTAATATAGTATAAACTTGAGAATTTTCTATAGCACAATTATAAGTTACCTTCAAATGTTTATACCGATAAATTTCACGATAAAATTTTTTTAAATTCTTCGTATGACAGAGTCTTATTAATATAATTAAAGTTTATTATCTATTTAATATTAAAATGACGAGCGATTTTGGGAATCCGTTACGGAAATTTAAGTTAGTGTTCCTGGGTGAACAAAGTGGTGAGTGTGTTATTTCTTATAAGAGTTTTGTCACATTATAAAATATTTTTAAAATGTCATAAAATCACTCTAATTAATGTGTTACTACTAAATAAGAATATTCATTATTTATGGCTTAAAAATGAAATTCCCTTTTTTCTCATTTATCGGATATGTAGTTCTTTTTCAACTTTTCATCATATCCTTTATCTTTGATGTACCTTAATTGTGTTTATTTTTTATACAATAGTTTAATTTAAAGCTAGTTATTTTGGATTATTACTAGGATTATTTTGATACCACAAAATAATGTTGTTTCGCATACTAATCTTATATTATTAATTTTACAGTGGGGAAAACATCACTTATTACAAGATTTATGTATGACAGTTTTGATAACACGTATCAGGTGATTATTGTTGTAAAAAAAAAATTGTAATTCTTATAAATGTAATCTCAGCTGATTGAGACCAATGGTGCTGGGTGGTGAGTCGGGTGATAGTATGATGAACATTTACTGTCAACTTGGGCGTTAACAATTATAACTTACAGTAGAGTAGATGCCTCAAATTTTTGCCTTGACGAATTGTTGAATTGTTTTTTATTATAAAAAGTATTTATTACTGGCGGGATATACCTATGAAAACAGTTTTGAAAAGATAGTAGATGCATTTTCTATGGTATTGGATGTCCAAAGTTGAATATTCAGAATTCATCATTTTTAAGATTTACTTTCTCTTAAAAAAATTATTATATTCATGAGGAAAATCGAGGATTGGCGATGAGTAGGGAAATTCTTTTCACGATTTCTCTTCACTTTCGCAATGAACTTCTTCACTATTGAATAGATTTTTATTTTTAAAAAATGTATTGAGCACGTGATTTATTTTCGTTACACATAAGCAGTTGACAATAACAATAAATGATGATGTTCGGGCCTGAAAATCTTTAGCACCATTGGTCCTGAAATTGGTAGCATATTGGGAATAATATTATTATATTTTATGAATTTTCAAACATTATTTTTTGTCAGATTGCTTTCTGAAGTCTAATAAGGTTTTGCTTATTACTCCAATAACTGATAAATACTGTTAAACCTTGATTTGTTTGCGGTCTTAGTGTGTTAACACTACAGTGCTAAAATTCTATTTTCAATACCAATTTAGTTACTCTTTTTTGTTAACTTATGCTGCTTTTCGTGTTTTATTTTAACGCTTTCATGGGCATCATTGCTTGACCAAGTCTAAGGTACAATATTTGTAAGCTTCATGCATGAGAACAATACTGTATGGCCCACTCTCCCATCATCTTTCTATCTGATTTGCTAGAATCGCAAAAAATTGATCAGTATTTCAACTGGCCTACAAATTAAAAAATGTAGCAGGCTTTGGACATGGCATAATTTTTTATACCTCTGTCTTCAAATAGGTTCAATTTTTGGCTTCCTCAAGTTTTATCTTGATAAATTAAGTACCGTAATGATGTTTTGTACAACTGTGTTGTTCTTCAATACTGGATAATTGTATATCATCAAAGTCTAAATCATAATTCACCCATGGGAATCTAAAGCGAGTAAAACAAACCATCACATGAAAATGGAATTCCCTGTACTGTTTGGCTCATACACGTTGTATCTTTGTTTTGTCTGATTTGCATGTATGTTAGGCACTAAGACCGCTGTCTTGAATAAAATCAATTTTTATGTTGAGATCGCTGAAGTCTTTTTTACCACTTCATTTTATCATTTTTGTTTACTTCTGACTTTTGTCTGAATTCAAAACTTATTTTGTTGCAGGCCACAATAGGAATTGATTTTCTTTCAAAAACAATGTATTTGGAAGACCGAACGGTAAGAACCTACATTCAGCATTTAGAATCGTAAATTAGGCAAAATATTTTTATTGAAGGGTCTTTTTTGTTGAAATAATTCCAATGAAGATTAAAATAGGAGAATCAGCCTATTTAAAGTTCTCGAATTGTTTATATATAGCATGCTGTTACACAGAATAACATTAGGTTATAAATATCAACGGCCATACAAAAAAACTATACCTATTGTGCAATAAGGATGAGGGTGATTCAAATCTTACTCAAACATACAAGTCTAGACATGGTGCCATCAATCACATCAGTCTTCCTGAACTGGTAGATTTTTTGTATAGGAAAGATGTTGCTTTACGTCTAAGTAACATTACCAAAGTGTTTATTGATTGGTATATATAGAAAATATAGATGTTGGTATATAAATATAAAAATACACAAATTTTAGGAATGTGGTTTTCAATACAAACTCAGAACAGCTAGCAACTGTCATCCGTTATAATATATAAAATCCTGTTAGTGACTTTAGATTTTCTCCAGGTCATATGAAAGACATACCTAAAATGAGTCTTATCTCTATACCTAAAATAAATATTAGAAATTTTCTCTAACCAATCCAACCATGTAATAGAGATGCCTATTTTGAAAAGTTGTTTGGTAGTTGGTTTGAATTTTCTTCGTTATAAATTCTAGCTTGTCTAAATTCTATCAGTAATAGTTACATTTGTGAAAGAAAGGGAATTCGTATACAATGATATCTCGGTAGTCGAACGATTCGATACTCGAACAATTCGGTAGTTGACCAAAAAAATTCGCTACTCGATCGAAAATGCGGTGCTCTAGCGCGCCACCAAGTGAGGAGATGAAGTCACCCGAATCCCACATCTTGACTGCCTCTTGGCCATTCAGCAAGAGTGTGATGCCCAAATACATGGACATCAAGGGCAAAACCGGTATAAGGCACAATAGACTACCGGTACGGCAATCTTCATGACGAACGTGAAAGCAGAACCGCCACATAGTGCACAATTTTTGATGACGTCATCTCACACGAAAAACGCATGCCACAGAGCCCACAGAAATTTGCTTAAACGTGCAGTAACTCATACAAAATTATTAATATTTTTATCTTTATTATGTTTACTCTTTATTATGTACAATTAAATAATTAATGTTGTTTAGGTTCATGTTTTGTTAATATTTTTAGTATTTTGGAATGCGTGAGAACATATTAAAATAATTACCATTATGTCTTATGGCAAAAAAGTTTCGGCACTTGAACCATTCGGTAGTCGAATACCAATCCTTAACAAATTATGTTCGTCTACTGAGGTATCACCATTTTTATAGGTAAAATTGCTCA